CTTTCTGAATGTTTAAAAACTCAAGTCCAATTAGCAGCATTCCTGTGCTAGAACATTAAAGCATCATGTTGTAACAAAGCAAAACACTGACACATAAGAGTGAACATAAAGCAGTTCCGTGCTCTAAGGCTGTCACACATTTCACAAGTAGGGCGGTGGAATTTTAGTTAGCGATCCAGATTGCTTCTTTGGCCATATCTTGCCCCTTTTCGGAAGTTATTTATAAGATGAGTTTTTGAGACCACATCTTTCTCTTCGCTTAAGTTTCAACCAGAACTGGTTTGTCCCCTAAACCTGTGAATTATAAATTGCCATGTTTAGATTAAGATAATTTAAACTATATAAAGCAGATGGCAGAGTAGTGGTTAAAATGTTAGACAACAGTTTCTGAGCCTGCACATGACTAGCTACTTAGGTTACTTTAACAGTGGAGTTACATGCACACCCTTCATTTCAAGTAGCTTATAACAGAAATGCTGACAGCCTGTATCCATTCAAGCGTCAGGGAGTACCACTTGGAGATTCTTATACGGATGTCATTTCCATGTCCCATACTAAACAGCTTCAGTCAGCCTACCTTGCATTAAAACAATTTAGTTCTTTAAATACTTATGTGCTAGAAGTGGATCTTTTATAACACCAAGTTCACGAATATATTTTACATTTCATTAGTGTCTTTCACACCAAAGGCTCTGGAAGCACTTCACTGACTATACATTATTAATCCTGTATATTACAGTAGTGCCTACAGGCCAAACAAGAATGGGGCTCCATTATGCAGGGCACTGTTCAGAGTAGTCGACAGACCCTGCCCCAAACAGCTTACAGTCTAAACAGATAGAACAGATGAAGAGGGTGGGAAAGGGAGAGCATATGACAGACAGACCCAGAGCATCTTTGAAAGCACAGCCAATGCGGAGATGAAGGGGTAGAATCATAGCTGGCACAGTGTGTTATGAGGGAGTTGGACAGGTGAATCATGATCAAAGACTCTCCAACAAGTCCCCTTTGTTGCAGAAAGTACTAGGAGTGATTAGGTGGGATCTATAGTTTCTATCCTGAGCACACAAGACCTTGTTTGTAGACAGCATGAATCGAGATGGGAAAGCAAAGAAGTTACATACTTTGGAAAGGGAAGAATTGTTAATTTCTATGTGAGCTGCTTCAGAAGTTCTCTCCCATCATTTTTAATATTGAAAGAAAGGGAGGGTATCAATTTCCTTAAGGGTCTCTTCTCCCCCAGTCCATATGAGTGACCAAAACACACAAGAATCCCCACCACCTCCGACACTTTCAAGGGAGCCATAAAAGGACACTCTCCACCCATGTGAGCTCTATTACCCCTCCTAGCATCTTTGCCCCCCCCTTCCCCCAACGAGAACAGCTCACATCCCAGTACTCCCCTCCCAGCTTCTCATATACCTCCTACTACACAGGCTCTAACTTGCCCACTCCACCCACCACCACCCCAAAAATCCACCTTATTCAGGTGCCCAGGATCGAGCCCCGGTCTCACGTACCACCTAGCCAGCCCACCCAGATCCGATCTCCCCTTCTCCAGACCTTCCAGCACCCCCCTCGCTCCCTATGTCCCTCAGGTTTCAGCTCCTCCCCCAAGCCCCTACGTCCCCCAGCAACCCCGCTTCCCACTGTTCCTTCCCCAGGTTTCAGCCCCTCCCCAGGCCCCCTTGTTCCCCAGCTCCTTTGTACCTGCTGCACCCCCCAATCGGTCCATCGCCCGGTCTCCCCGGCCCGGACTCACCAAGATCCGGGAGCCCCTCAGGCTGCTGCACCCACCACCACAACCAGCTGCGCCTCCCCCCTCCCTCCGCCGGAAGTCCTGAAGCTAGGAGACACCTCACTTCCGTTTGGGATGTACCATCCGCACACATCCTAGTAACCCCACCCAATTCACCTCTATGGGGCCTACCCCCAGTCACGCCCGGTGGTCTCGCCTCAGACCCTCCCTTATTTAGAGCAGCGAGCGGTACAATTCGAACACAACCAGCTCCCCCCTTTCAGGTTGCAGCTGGACTGAATCAAATTCACAACTCCCTGCTGCTCCCCCCGCCCACTTATTCAGACGGTACGGTCCCAGTGTCTACTTGGTATCGTCCGCCTTCCACCGCTAAGGGGTGAAGAGGGTCCCGTGGCTCCTGCTGATTGGTCTAGCGTCATGGGTGTCCTCTAATCAGAAAAATCCCCAGAGGAAGGAACAGTTGTTGCTAGGGGCGATGGGGCAGATTATAGAACAGACTTGTGGTGGACTGTGCGTTTGTGTAATGAGTTGGGTATGTTCTCATCCCATATTCCGCTCTCATCACCTCCCCACCAGCTCTGGTCCAGGGTGAGGGTGGTACTGTGGGACAATGGATTAGGGCACAAGAGTGGGAGCCATATCTGCCGGATTCTTTCCCAGTTCTAGGAGGGGCGTGGGGTCTATTGGGTTAGAGCGGAATGGTGCTGGAAGTCCTGACTCTCGGGGTTCCATCTGTAGCTCCTGCACTGACTTGCCATGTGAGTGACCTTGGGCAAGTACGCTTTGTGTGCCTTAGTTTTTCCAGATGTAAAATAGGCATAGGGATACTATGAGATAATGCTATGAGATCCTTGGATATCAGTCATAAATTTGACTGTAAAATTTCCTACAAGTCACAAATATGCTGCACCCAGGCAATATGTGCTATAGTCCTGAGAGCATTAAGATGCAAAAGAGAGAGATCAGAGAGAATAAGTATCCTCACTATTCTGCATTTGTCATCTCCCTGCCACTATGGTAACAGATCTGACTCTGCCTTACTGTTCGCTTGCATCAGAAAGTGAACACTTCTGTATCTGAGATGCTCAGTCTTTCCTGCAAGTAAAATCCTTCAGGGTGGGAATGTATTTGACTCAATTAAATGCAATTGTGTGACTCTATTCTTGAATAAAATTATTGCAAAACAAACAACCTAGTGCCTAGTTTTATTTGTGAATTAATTTAGTGCTCAAGAAAGTAAGGCATATGCCCAGAGTTCTGGTGTGAACAGTTGCGCTTCCCTTATACAGTTAATTTCTCCTGATCTGCAATACCCTTCTAATCCCAGATTCACCACATAGCTCTGCCAAACCAATGTATCTAAAGATGGTTCTGCAGTACTGCTGTTCAAGTCTGGGAGTTTGTTTCAGCACTGCCCTTCACCTTGTGTAGTCATTTATACCAGTGCAAAGTGAGTTCAAAAGTGGGTATGTAAAATGCCACTGTTCTAATTCGGTAGCAAATTATATCCACCACTCGTGTAAATGTCTAAGTAGTGCTGGGCCCCTGTTCTCACTACACACAGTTTTGCTAATACATCTCAGTCTTATCCCACAGTACTGGCTGATTTTTCAGTCCAGAGCTCCCTTGAGCTGTGACTGCCAAATATGCTTGCAATGCACACAAATAAGGCATCAAGTACCTTTTCACTTGTGACCTAAGCTAAAATTTTAACCCATGTGCATAGAATTGATAGCCTACTACATTAACCTGTTGTGTTTCAGGTCTTGCAAATGCCTTCCATCAGGTTATTTATTTATTAATTTATTATTATTATAACACCTAGGAGCCCCAGTCATAGACCAGGACCCTGTTGTGCTAGGCACTGTACAAACAGAACAAAAAGACGTTGCCTGCTCCAAAGATCTTTCAATCTAAGTATAAGATATGAGACAACAGATGGATACAGACAGACAGGGGAGTATAAGGAAAGAATTAGACAATATTGGTCAGTATGATGGGCACTGTAATCTGAATTTGAAGGGCTACGTAAACTAAAATTGGATGGCAGGTATGTGTGTAAAACTGGGCATCGGGTGTTTCTTTGCATGTGCTAAACTGAATGGCGGATGTGTGTGTTAATCTGAAAGGGTGTGTGTTTGTATTTAAGACTGTCTGGAAGCCAGGTGTATGTGCTTTAAAATGGATGACATGTAGGTATGTGTGTGTGTTAAAGTGGATGGCAGGTTTTTCTGTTAAACTGTATGGCAGGTTGGGGACTTTGACAAGCTGGCAGTTGTGCGTGTATTAGACTAGACCGTAGCTGTGCATGCCATGCAGGGAGCTTGAGGCTTTGTAGCTCACATAACTATGTCTGATAATCTAGTCACTGCACTGGTCTTGGTGTGTTGTGCTTCCTGAGCCCCAATGAGGCTTTGTTTTAGCTGTCACCCTCACCACTGCAAAATAACAGGGACATTTGGGCAAAGGATGGGAGGTCCAACCTGGTATGTGACTTGCCACACACTAGGGTCACATGGTGAGTTGGGAATGTACCCTAGGAGTCCTGACTCCATTGTGCTAAATGTGGGCTGATTTCACCAGGCTCTGACACACAAGCTCCTATAGGAAGTTATATTCACAGGTGTCCCTATAATAAATATCCCTTGAGACTTATTGGCCAGGGGTCTGAATAGCTCCTACACACCTTATCAGAATCCAATAAAACCCAGGAGTCCTGACTCCCAGTTGTATAGGGTGACCAGACAGCAAGTGTGAAAAATCAGGACAAGGGGTGGGGGGTAATAGGAGCCTATATAAGAAAAAGCCCCAAATATCGGGACTGTCCCTTTAAAATCAGGACATCTGGTCACCCTACAGTTGTAAGTTTCAGAGTAACAGCCGTGTTAGCCTACAGTTGTACTAAGTGTGGGATGGGGGCAACTTGACCTGATATACATGCTCCTATAGGAAGTTATGTTTGCAGGCAACCCTATAATAAACACACAATGAGAGTTATTGGGTGGACCTCAAATAGACCTCCTGGAGCCCAGAGTCATGCGCAGCGTACCCTAGCCTATCCTCTCAGCAACACCCCTCCCCCAATCCCCACGGGCTAATAGGGACTGAACTCTCGCCTCTGACGTCCTGCTCTTTGATTGACGGTGGTTTGCAAAGAGGCCGGTCTACCCATCGCTGATTGGCTAGGAGCTGACAGGGTTGAGCCTATAGAAGCCAACAGTGGGTAAGTGGGCGGGGTAAGGTTGATACTACCCCTTCGCGATTGCTGCGCGCGTGCGCGCTGCTTGGTTACTCTGCTCAGGTGAGGGGGGGGAAGGCGGGAAAAAGCAGTTGGTAGGGAGGGGCCACAACGGGAGGAGGAGTAGCAGCCTCTCCCTCCCTTCCCCTCACACTCACCCCATGGCCCCCTATGGGTAACGGGGATGAGTAATAGGTATTAACCATTCCCCATATTAAAACTGGGGGGTAAAGTGGAGGCTCATTTGACTGGAAAAGGGAATCCTTGTTCTTCCTCAAAATGGTGCCTTATGTTCCCCCCCCCCCCCGGGGATGAGTGAGGCACCAAGGTGTGTGTATGGGAGGGTCACCCTGTATACTGAGGGTGTAGTAATGGCCCCATGCACTGATGTGGTAATAATGCACCAAGTGGCTTGGGGGGGTTAATGGTAACCCCTGAAATGCCCCTCCTACAACCCTCATGCCCCTGCTGTAATGGGTAGGGTGGTGGTGTAAAATGTCCCTGCATATCATTCCACTATACATACTGAGTGGGGTAACACTGTACCTGTGTGTGTGTATTTTGGGGTGTCTCTGGGTGTCAGAAGATCCCCAATCATTCCCCTACCCTAAGAGGGAAATAAGGCACCAAGGCTCCCCCACCCCCAAATACTCTTCTTATAGCCCCCGTGTAGACTAAGGGGATAGTGGGTCAAGTTGAGGGGTGAAATACAGATGGCTTGGTTTGTGCAAACTGTTTCCTCGCCTTTTCTTATGAACCCTACAACATTTGCCTGAAAGGCTGTCTTTTTGTGAATTAGATCTGCCCCATTTAATGTGGTGGCTTAGACTCTCCACAAAGGTCCATGAGCCTAAACCTTTGTTTGATGTTTGTAAGCCCCTAGAATGGTTGGGTTTCATCTGTCTTTAGTCTAGTTCTTAAAAATAAACATAAAACAAGCCCAGATGTTGAATTCTGAGTTAAAAATCTTTCTTGCCCTAAGTCTGCCAATTGCATTAACCTGATGGGCTGAATTATGTGGTCAAAGTTTGGTGGCTTAGGTCCATGCAAAGCCCAAAACTTGCTTTAATTCCAAAAAGCCCAGGTGTTGGGTCAAAACTGCTATGTGGTACTAGCCCCAGGTCATTCAAAACTGGATACCATGATTGCTAAAACTGGCAATTGTGACCTCTACAGTCAATAGTTCATAACAAAAATATGAAAATGGATCACTTTTGTTTCATTTGAGGTGTTGAAAAATTAATCCACTGGAGCGGGGAGGAAGGTTGTATGTCTAAGAAGGTACTTAAAATGGCCAGCTAGGCTGTGGCTAGATAGCATGCCCATTAGTTAAAGCAGAGGGCTTCCATTCTATTCCCAGCTCTGGAATGGAGCGTTGAGTAGAGCACAGAACTATGCATTGGAATGCCCAAGTTCCATACCTTATTCTGAGACTTGGAACAAAGTTGCTTCACATCTCTGTGCCCCAGTTTTTTCCTCATCTGTAAAATTGGGATAGTGTATGCACTTGAAAAGGGCTGCAGTATATAATGGCAACATGTACTGCTTGATTGTTTCAGAGTTGCATAGTAGTAGAACTACCAAGTGATATCCTGCATGGAGGCATTTTGGTGACTTAGAAATTATTTGGTATTCCAACTGTCTTCAGAAATGTATATAATTAAGGGTTAAAAAAAATGCAAGGATTAGACCATCAAATTGTTTTAATAGTGTGTACCCTGAAAACGATTCTGGGAACTTTAAGGTTAATTAGTGGTATTCTTGGGATTATTCTTACACTAAAGGTTAGGAGGATGCTTTTACAGATGAAAAGTAGGGTGGGGATAGGAGAAGAAAACTAGTGTGTTGGATTTGATTCCCACTTTAGGAAGGGAAACCTTTTAAATGGGGGAATTCAATCTACACTTCAGACAAATTGCCTGTCTTCTAACCCATGTCCCCAAAGAGAGAGAGAAATTATCCCTCTTACCCAATGCTGTATTAATTACCTAGACTGGTGGTAATTCACTAATTAAAATTCATTCTTGAAGAACATTACATACAATATGGGGTCAGCAGTCAGGGAAGGTCTGTGTGGTAGAGAGCTGATTAGTCTTGCTGTTGAATAAACATTTTCTCTCTATAAATGTTCTTCTTTTTCATTGCCTCCTACGAGGAATGGACTTTAAGAAGTAACAGAATACTTACATACAGGGCTGCCGAGAGCGGGTTTAGGCCCTGGTGAAAATTTGTTTTCGGGCCCCCCAGCAAGGGCGGACCGGCTAAACAGGGCCAACGGGGGCGGGAAGCCGGGCCTGGATTTTTTTCGGGTTCCCCAGCAAGGGCGGACCATATACCTGCTTTCCCCCCCCCCTCTCGTCGGCCCTGCCTACATATTAATTATTGGTGAGATTGTTAAAAATATTAGAATGGTCAAATGGAGGCCAAAAAAATCCCTCCGGCTTGTGTAGAAACAAATTGTTTAGACTCTAGAACAAATTTTAAATCCAGTTTTCCGGTTTAATTTTATTTACCACTTGCTGAGAAGAGACCACTAAACTTAAACTGGTCTTTTCTTGATAAAAAGCTCTTTTGGGGGGGGAAGTGGAGGTGGGGGAAAGTGAGGAAATGGTTGGTGATGTTGGGGGGGGGGGGGGAGGGTGGCTAGAAAAACAAGCTGAACAAAGATGTGGGGCCCTGACAAAGTTATAGGGACGGAAAGCAAATGCAAATTAAACATGAGGTGATTTGAGATTCTGTTCCCCCATAGTAGGTCTGACATAATAATATTCTTCTCCCAAAATGTAGTCTTGTATTACTTTCTAAACTACTTCAGTGTGGGTATTCTAGCTAAATGCATTCATAGGCACAAGTGTAGGACAAGGGCAAACACCTTAAAAGGAAACAAGAAAACTTATCTCCTTTGTGAAAGTGTTTTATATTATAATTTTCTCACTGTCTACAGTAATCCTGACACTTGGTATTTTAATCGCTTTCTGTTCAGTGTGTAAATTAGTTATTGAGTTAGAAAAGGGTATTGGAAGTATCTTTTTGAGTTGGTGGGACCATAGTTCTGCAAATGGAATAAAAAGGAGGGGAGGAGTTCAGATCCTAACCTACAATAACAGATTTGACAGTGTCTTAACACCTACTCTTCACCTTAAAACAAGTAACTGGCTGAGTGTGTGTTGTACAGGGAATTTTAAATGGGAATTCAGAGGTCTAAAATGGTATTTTGGAAGGCTTTAAGGCACTGATGATTAATGTGTCTTTAGCATGATTAATTACACAGTTCCATTTTCACCTGTCCATGCTGACTTTATCCTTTTAAATTGAACAGGTGTTGTTGTATGGCTCCTTGCTTCCCATCCCACATGCACAGTTAAATGGTTAAAGCTTTTATTTTTAAAAACAGTTAAATGTTTAGATTGGTAAATCTGTGCTCAAGTTTTGGCAAAGTCCAAAAGGCTCTTTGCAAGTCCAGAGTATTGTAGGAGTGATTTAAAACATAGTAACAGGAGCTATAAAACAAGTTAAGCTTTTTTTCTTTAGATTTATACAAGTCAGCACCATATATCTGGTGGGTCAGGGAGTTCCACACTGGCATAGTGTGGGTGAAGGCAGGATATTCTGAATTAACAAACAGAGAATGCAAATTGATACAGTCTTGTGCTGCAGCATTGGATGTATAATGAGCAGTAATTTTGAAAGGCCAGCAGAAGGACCATTATTTTCTTGGCTTGTCTGTATGTATTCAACTACTGACTTATTTTCATTGTGAAGGGCTTTTTCTCCCCATTTCTCTTGCAACTAACTGTATCTTGATTGATGAATGTAAAGAGAAAAAATCATAGTTTTTAAATCAAATGTCTCAATTTTTACAAGATCTTAATGACTGCAGGTGCTGAACTTGAGACACCTTAAAAGGGCCTGATTTTTTCAGAGAGTAGGTGCTCTGTGCTTTCTGAAAATCAGGCCCCTTTAAGGTGTCTCAAGTTCAGCACCTGCAGTCATTACTTACTTGTAAAAATTGAGACCTTAGTTTCTTGTGTGTTTGATTTTCCTAAAAAAAAAAGTTTACTCAGCTTGGACGGTGAAACTGGATTGGTCAGTTCTTTAATTTTTTTTTTCTAGTGCTGGTGGGTGTGACAGCTTGACAACTGTGGAAATGCAAGTTACTGCTGTATCTCTAGAACAGGTGCAACATGGGCAGTAGCAGTGCAAACTGTCTCTCAATGCTCTAACTGGGTGCCACTGTGCCTTAAGCCTGCCTCTAGAGAAGAAGGGTATTCAATCTGTGGCGCAGTCAGCCTTTGACCTTTGAGTTGCAATGAAGGCAGCTGTCCAACTTTAATTGTTGTGATGGATCTTAGTTCACTTCCCAGTGGATAGTTTCACAAAACCAGTTACTAATATCTCACAGGCCACTAACAGCCATCATGTGGTAACAGTTCTTGATTGCTATTGATTCAGGCTTGATTTGGAAATGGTAACCTTTACTGAAAGAGCTTCCTATTGAATTACCAATTCTGTTAATTCTACTTCTTAATCCTTTTCCATTGCAGAAAAGCCCCTGAGCCTCCACTAATACCAGTAAAAAAATGAGGCATACTCAGAGTATTTCCCATGTCCCTCCTGTGGTCACCACTGGGGTGAAGCCAGGGAACATGAGACCGCATCACAACAGCACAAAGGGCATTGGAGCGCGTAGCAGGATGCGAATCCCTGAGAGAGAGCATTCCATAGCAGTGCTGAAAAGCATGCAGCGACCTCCATTCCATCTACATCGGGAAGAACAAGAGGCCTTCTTCAACCTACTGGGTAGGAGGCTAGACCAGTCATTCAAACTGTCCAGCATCTTGGGATATACAGTTTAGAGAAAACATGGTATACAAAACCATACTGTGTATTGGGAATGGGTTCCCAAGGCTGGAGAAGACTGCAGTGACCAACTAGCAGTAAACCCAAGTAGGGAATTGCAGGGAAGAGGTATTTTTAACTCTCTATAACAAGATAAGCTTTGTATCCAAGATACATTTTAAATGATCTGGAGGATTCAAGTTGATGATTTGACTATTCAGGTTGATAACTGCTTGCAAAAGGGGAATGTTATCTGTGTTTAGCACACAGGATGGGGAGTAAGGAAATGTGGGTTTCTCAATGAAAAAAATTCTTTGACTTAATTCCCTTGTCTCCACCTGTAAATGTTGGATGATACCACTGTTCTAAAGTGCTCTGAGAACCTTGAACCTTGTCATAAGTGCAAAGTATTTACAATTCCGTTTTAGAAATGGAATATTTTGATGGAAGTCTAGACTTTGTCCACTCTGGGAGTATGGCACTGCTAGCTATAGCTATGTTTAAGCTGCTATATTTAGTAGAGTTCCAGCAAGTTTCTTTGACCAGACTGTGAAAGTCTCTTGTCTGAAAACCGTGTTGGAACCATGTTCTAAATTCATGCTATAAACTACCTAGGCAGGTCACTCTAGATCAGTGGTTCTCAAACTTTTGTACCGGTGACCCCTTTCACATAGCAAGCCTCTGCTTGCGACCCCCCCCCTTATAAATTAAAAACACAATTTTATATATTTAACGCCATTATAAATGCTGGTGGCAAAGCAGGGTTTGGGGTGGAGGCTGACAGCTTCTGACCCCCCGTGTAATAATCTTGAGACCCCCTGAGGGGTCCCAACCCCCAGTTTGAGAACCACTGCTCTAGAGATCTTCTTGTAAAGATTCCACCATTGCTACAGTAGGAAACAGTACTCCCATTCGGAAAGCAACAATCACTGAACAATATGAAACAACTAAAAACAGCTGCCTTGCTTTTTCTTCCCTTTACCAGAGGATGACTTGGTACAAGAGTTCTTGTCTATGGACATATGCTACAGGATTTCAGATAAGGTATGTCCCTCATGCTCCCTTCAACTTCCTTATGACAACCTTTCTAAATAGCAATGCGCAGTAGTTTAATGACTCTAACTTTTTGACTCTCTTATGCAGTATCTCTAACTTATAAACCAAACTTTAACACAAGAGCCAAGGCCTCATCCCCACTGAAGACTGATATTTTTGCATTCATAACTCAAATGACTCCACCACTTTTCTTCAAACTTTCCCTAAATTCCCTTCTAGGCTGAGACAAAGCACGAGGCTTTAGCCCTTGGGAAAACTGTAGGGAGTGGCAATGAGTTTAGAACCAGTGCTTAATTTGTAATGAAAGAGGTGCTGGGGCTCAAGCAATTTTTTTATTACATTCATAACTGATGCAGCCAGCCCAGAAGTGCCAGGGCTATGAACTGCCAAGCCTCAAGGTGCCAGGGCTCAGCTCTGGCACAAATTAAGCACTGCTTAGAATAGACACTCAGTCTGACTTCTTATGGCCGTCACTCTGGTAAAGGACCTTGGGATTCTATAGATGTTGCATTAAAATGAACTATAGTCCTAATCTGTCATATGCTTTCTCCTGTGCTGCCCATCACGCTTGGGAGAAGTTCACCGTAAATGTCTGCAGGACTAACTCTATCCACCTTCAAATCTCTCCTTAAAACTCCTCTGCCATGAAGCTTATGGGATTTTTTTTTTTTTTGCCAACAGTTAGTTAACTGGTGTGTATAGACCACTCCTTATTGTGCTGACCAACACTGTCTCATTGTTTCCTTGTACACCCCTATCTGTATCCATCTGTTGTCTATTGTCTTGTATTTGGAAGCTTTGTTCTGTGTTTGCACAGGACTAGCATAATGGGGCTCCTAAGGGCTATGATAATACAAATAATTAGCAAGCCTCCACAAAAGTGTTTCCTTTCTTCACTCTCTCCTCTTATGGCTCGATTTCTTTTTGTTTTAAACTTAAATACTAGATGGAACATATTTTGTTTCTTCTGATCCAGAACTGGGTCTATTAAAGGTAACTCTTGTTTAGTATCTTCTAGCCATGACTCTGACTTACTTCAAACGTGCTGGCCTGCATATTAGTGAATACACACGGATGAACCTTTTCACTGCCCTGTAAGTACCTTGTAGCTCTTAACCTTGTGATCCCTGTCTGTAAAGATCCCACCATATAAATAATTCATAGACAGCAGAATGGGGAAGACCAACTGGGTTACCTAGTCCATGCCACCAAATGGTTTGGCAGGAGGAATGGCTATTAGGAGTATAATTTAATAGCATCTGGGTCCACAGTACACACACACCGGTATCTGAAGAAATTATACCCAACTTAAACCTCCCTGCACCTACCCCCCCCAAAAATTTTCCCATGCCATACTGATCAGCCATAATTGTCCCCCAGCTGGGAAAAGCACAATTTAATTGCAGTGTTTCCAGTTAGCTTAAGTAGATGGTTTCAAAGGGTTTCCCTCTAACACGAGTATAAGACTTCATTATTGGGTAGAGGCTAGTAGATATTTTTTTAACCTTATGTTTCAAGAGGCTAATGATGGTAAAACACAAATCAGTGGGATCCTGATGAATTTTAATTACATGGGCTGAATGCAGGGATCCCAAAGTCATACTTGTGTTCTTTCTCTCTTTATGGATAAGGAGCATTTTATTCTGTTGGCACAGTGCCTGCCACAGTGGTGTCCAGGTCTATGACCGGGCTCCTACAGTTACCATTTCAGAAGTCAGAAGTTTGCGAGTGAACTCCATTGCCACCATGATCTAGTAACAGGAGAGGCCTCTATGGGTTGCTCTTCAATCCCTTCTTGTCATACTAAGGTTTTAGGTATGACACCTGCAGCTGAATGTACTGCATGGACACTTGAGGCCTGATTCTTACTCTAAAGCTGTTCTGGCTATGGACCCACTTGTGAGGATACTTTACTCTATCAGAGTGGTGTAGAGCTATGTTGGTGGGAATGAGAATTATTCCCTTTAAGGGCAAACACTGCATCAATCCAATCCCAAACTAATCACATCAGCTTGCAAACTATACTTATCTAATAGAATATTGAAATAGAATTGGTATCTACTGTTGTTTGTTGTGTGAGAACTTGTTTACAACATAATCCACTTGTAGTTCTGTGCACCTATAGGAAAAACCCACGAGCTATTGTATGCACCTAAACACAATTGGCCTTACTTGCAAACGAGTGATTTGCAAAAGCCTCTTATGCTGCAGTTCTGTGGCTTAGAACACTTCCTCTTTTATACAATGTAATGCTGGAGTGTTAAGGCTTAACACTTGCTACACTGAAAGCTACTATAACAATTCCAGGCTGTACCATACAACTTCCTAGGCTGAGTGCTTCTGAGAAGCACTGGTTAGAGGAATTTCTGTGGATATAGCCTGTTTTGCCCCATTTTCCTGATGCAGGTACTTGGCTAATGACATGGAGGAAGATGAAGAGGATTACAAGTATGAGATCTTTCCCTGGGCCCTTGGTGACAACTGGCGGCAGATGTTCCCACAGTTCTTAAAAATGAGAGATGGCTTCTGGGCTAAAATGAACTACCGAGCAGTGGTCAGCCGGCGCTGTTGTGATGAGGTTAGCCATGGCTGACATATTTTTGCATGCTTGTAATACTGGGACTATGGCTAACACATTAATAGTCACTAGAATCCATAGTCTATGCAAATCCAGTTAAAATAAAGGGTTGAGGCCTGAACTGACTATGGGAGGCTAAGTGTCCCTGCTAGCACACTAGGAAGGTCAGGAATATCGTAGTGGGTGCATCTGTCTAGCTATTCCTCAGAAATTAAAGAAAACCTCAGTCTCTAGGATTTTTCAAGCCAGCACTCTTAGTACAGAATCCATACTTAAGTTTAAAGATTCTTGGGTCACCATTGGCTAGGATTCTACTGAACAGTCACAACCTTTACCCTCTGCAAATGTCTTCCCTGCCAACATTAATTAGCAGTTGCTATTCTAGCTTTAGTTATGATCAAATCATTCTTATCTTAATAAATCTGTCTGATAAATAAATCTGTGGGAGAATGTTGAGATGCTACATTGTAGTTCTTACTGTCTTTGAAGCCCTATACTGGGGTGGCCAAACTTATTGACCCTCTGAGTTGCATACAACAATCTTTTGAAGTTCAAGAGCTGGGATGCACCTGCTGGGGCTCAGGATTTCAGCCCCACCCTCCCTGCTGGGTAAAAGTCCCTATCCCACCCCCCACTGCAAGGCAGAGGTCCCAAGCTCCTCCTCACCCAGTCTGGTAGGTGGAGAAGGGGGGGGCTCCACGAGCCAAACTTTAACTGTAAAAGAGCTGCATGTGGCTCACGAGCCATGGTTTGGCCACCCCTGCCCTATACACTAAAAGGATTAGATATGACAAAATCATGCTTAGTGAATTTTAAGTGAATCCAGAAAGATTCAATGGCAAGGAAAAACATTGGTTTGTCTATACTCTTCTGATCTAGATAATGTCAAAGGAGCCATCCCATTGGGCTTGGTCACGTGAACGACCCGTTCATCACAGTGGAGCACTGAGAAGCTACCTGAAGAATGAAAAGGACTCACTTCCCCGAGGACCTGGTGTTACTCCCCCAAGCTGCCCCCTCTGCACTTGTGAGCTGACTGAGGAAGGCAGCCCAGAAGATGCTCCAAGTGCCGGTATTACTTCTGATGGTGACCTATTGCCATTCACTAACAAGTGGTCCCAGAACTTTATTATCCTCCCTCATAAAATAATGATGGATCCAGTGGCAACATATAGCCTGCAGAGTAAGTAGAGACAAGTCCCTCTCTCCTGGGCTCCAGCTCTGTTATCTGATTTGGAAAGAATGCACACTGCTTTTTTACTGGAATAGAGTTCTTGAGTGCCCAGTTTCCATATTCATAACTAGGGGTGAAATGAGTTGATGGGAATCACTTTCTGTTCTAGGGATAAGCAAGTTAAACTTGTTTGGATGAAGTTACTGTACTTGAGTTAATTTAAACCTCATGTTGAAGAACTAGCCCTCTAGGCTAAGTGTAATGGTTTCTTTCAGGAAACTGGAAACAATCCCTCTCTCATGGCAAAGAAAGGGGCCAGTCCTACTCCTTAGACTTGCCTGCTATAGGGAGCCCTTTAGATTCTGACCTTTTCAGGGCCACGCACATACATCTGAAAAACCTAAATGGAAAATTAAGCATGGATTGTGCTGCCTCCAGAGTCAATGCTGCATTTCTCTGGGCAGAATTCAGTAAAGAGGTGGGGTGTCTTTTGGATGACATTCCAAAAACACTGACTCTGGGTATCCCTCTAGAGTAGTTCTGCTTTTGGGAATTTGTTCTTGTCAGCGAGGTGCTGTCTGCTGCTTTATTGGAATTCAAGAGCCAGTGTGGTCTACAACCAATGACTTAATGTTTAGTGGCTATAATCATGTGTATTTCCCAGTAAGGTGTATAGGTACTTGACTTGCCTGTGTGGTTATATGTTCAGCCTCTTGGTTTCTTGGTCTGCAGTCCTTCAGGAGCCAGGAGTCACTATGGAGCCTAATGGAACTGGCCTGGATTGGCGATCTGTGGGGTGACTCTCTATTCCAGGACCAAGACATCTCCTCCCAAGGAACTGCAAGTGGCACTGGACTTGTTCTCATTCTGCTGTTCACAGAACTATGTTTTCCCCATGCACTTTATGAATATCTCCTGATTGTGAACAGGAAGACAGGGCAGTACTTATGTATTTAAAAAAATTACTTGCTGATGCAGCTATTCAAATGTGCCTTATTTAATGTGCAAATCCCAATGTAATAGCTGGACAGGCTCTAATAAAAATGTCCAGGAAAAAAAGTTTAGCTTCTGTTCATAGAGAATCCTGGTGAATGTAACGATTATCACGGCAACAAAACTTGATATTGAGTGAGCATAGCAGTGACCTATGGTGTCATGGTTGTTCTTGTTTAAGGCTTGGGATGAACAGAGATGTGGAGGAGGGATTCCTGGCGAAGAAAATCAGAATTCATACATTGCTAGTAGGTCTGTTTGAGCAGAGCATCTGAATCTTTCAGGTCTCAAAGGAAACTCTCACAATGGCAGTAATATCCACTTGCACCAAAAAGGCTTTGGTGGGGGTGGGGGAGAAGGGAAGAATGTAATCAATACTGGGGCTTCTGTTTTAAGAGCAACTAGTACTAGCTGCTAACACATGACAACACACTTTTCTAACCTAGAATAATTGCACAATGTTATGAGTGTTAGTCACATTATCTTGATCTACTGGGGATGACCACAAGGGTTAGCAAATACAACAGATGCCATTTCTGTCAGTGCCATGGTGACTTCACTGACCAAGCTGAATGCTCTCTGCCACTGTTCATCTGGCTCCATATCTGATGCAAGTAAAATAATTCATGTGGAATCAAAGCTTGGTAGTCTCTTTAATTTGGCATCCCTCTCCCCAGCTGTCTATAGGGGATGCACAAAGACAATGAGATTCTATCTAGCAGAGTATCTTAGCCTCGGCTACAGGGCAAAGCACTTTCTCAGACTGTGGTGCTGGCATCCCTTATGGAGGTAGGGACAATCTCTGGGTGGGGCATGAAACGCCATCTTATTTCCAATTAATAGGCAAATGCAAATCTTAACCACTAAACAGGGTGACCAGAGTCTTGCCACTGTATTCCTAGGCTGCCTTTGACTTGTTATATGGGAGGGAAATTTCCCTTCTCGGTACCTTAGTGCTAGAAATCTAAGGGTATGTCTATACATGGAATTAAGAACAGCTATTTGTGAATAACTCTCATTTGGACACTCCTATTCTGGAACAAGAGTGTGTCCTCACGGAGACATGCCTGAATAGTAGCATGTAGAGAAGACCTAAAAATGTTGGTGCCTGTCACAGCTCTTGAGGCTTTTGACACAGTCCCCCATGACATTCTCATAAGCAAACTAGATCAAAGCACTATAAGGTGGGTGCACAACTGATTGAAAGACCATACATGGAGTCGATATCAAAGGTTTGCTGTCCAATTGGGAGGCCGGATCAGGTGGGGGCCCAACAGGGGTCAGTTCTGTTCTGCGTTCACAGTGACTTGGATAATGGAGGAGAGAGCGTGCTTATAAAATCTGCAGATGACACCAAGCTAGGAAGGGTTGCAAGCATTTTGGAGGACAGGATTAGAATTCAAAAGACTTTGACAGATTAGAGAATTGTCTCTGAAGACAACACAATTAGAGTCAATAAAGGCAAATGCAAAGTACTGTACTTAGCAAGGAAAACATAAAATGCCCAAATACAAAATGGGGAAGTAGTGGCTAGGTGGTACTACTGCTGAAAAGGGGTTGGGGGTTATAGTGGATCACAACCTAAGGTAACAAGCTTGTGCAGTTACAGGAAAAAAGCTAATATTTTTCTGGGGTGTATACAACCCTCTCTGTTAATGTCAGATAGGAGGTAACTGTCCTTTCCTGCTCACCGCTCAGCTGGAGAACTGTGCCGAATTCTGGGTGCCACACTTTAGGAAAAATGTGGACAAATGGGAGGAAGTTCAGAGGGGAGTAACAAAAGGTTTAGAAAACCTTTCTTTAAAAAAAAAAAAAATGGTCGTGTTTCTTAAGAAAAGAAGACTGAGAGGGCCTTTGATAAGTCTTCAGATATGTTAAGGGCTGTTATAAAGAAGACTGTGATAAATTGTTCTCCATATCCACTGAAGGTGGGACAAGAAGTAGTGGGCTTAGCTTAAATCTTCATTACTGGAGATTGTCTATGCTGCACTTTCATCAGTAAAACTTTTGTTGGTAGAGGGTGTAGGAAAAAACCACACCACTGACTGACAAAAGTTATACTAACAAAAAGCGGTGTGGTGTGGACAGCGCTTTGTTGGCGGGAGACGTTCTCCCATCCACAAAGATACCGTCTCTCGATGGGGGTGGCTTTATTTTATCGGCCGGAGAAACAAAGAGCAGCTATACTGCATACCTTACAGCGGCGCTGCTGTATGGTGCGCAGTGTAGACATAGCCTTAGGTTAGACAATAGGAAAAACTTTCCAACTATAAGGGTAGTTAAGTTCTGGAAGAGACTTCAAAGGGTGATTGTGGAATCTCCATCATTGGAGAGTTTTAAGAAGAGGTTGGACAAACACCTAAAAGGGATGGGCTATGTTTACTTGTCCTACCTCAGTACAGAAGATGGGATTTGATGACCTCTCAAGGTCCTTTCCAGTCCCATGGTTCTATGA